TCAGCTCTCACCTGTGGCTCCAAGAAGCTGTAGCGTGGGCAGTGGCCATACCCCAGTAAAAACTGTCTCAGCAGATGGGCTAAATCAGGTTGAGGGTAACCAACAGGTCTCAAAACCATGAATAAATTAGGGAAATGTCTATCCGAAGCATGTGAAGACTTTCCTCGGTGAAATAAGTAAATGAGAACAATTTGTTCCAATGGCCATGAAGACAGTAGAAGCAGGCATCGTGGAGTGTGCTTCGAGCGTGGTCAGACATTGAAGATGCCAGGGTCATCCCCTGCATGCCGGGCCATCGCCAGTCATCCCAACTTTTGTCTTGCCTCTGGAATTTGATAAATCTGGAAGAGAGACTGACAACTTTTTGCAACTCCACCTCACTTAAATCCAGTTCACCTGCAAGTCAAGACGTCACCCCGTGATGTCACTGGTCCTCTTCAAAAACAATTTCTGAGTCATCCTTGACTCTTCACTATCACCTCCTTTTTATCTCCAGGCTCAATTATAAAGTCCTTTGGCATTTAAAGCCCTTCACAACTTGGCCCTTTCTTTTTCAGTCTTATACTTTATTCCTCTCCAAACATTCTAGGCCTAACAGTCCAGGCCTACTTTCTGTTCCTTGCCCACAACACTCCTTCTTTCAGCTTTGTCTTTAGACTGTCCTCCCCTCCAAAAGGCTCTTTTTACCTCTGCCTCTTAGCTTTCCTGGTTTCCTTCCAGTCAGCTCAAATCCCACCTTCTGTGAGAAGCATTTCTCAGTCCTTTCATTCTCCAGCGTCCCTAGCACCTTCCCTTTGAGATTACCTTCCATCTACTCTGTATGTATCTATCGTATATATTTATGTCTCCCTCAAAATGTGAGCGCTTTGAGGGCAGGGCCATCTTTTTTTGTATCTCTAGTACTTGTCTGGCACATAAGCACTCAATAAATGCTTATTGAGTAACTGTGGACTGACTCTCCCTCACTTTTCATATCTAGTAATTGGCCAATTATTATATATTATTACATACATATTTTTACATATTACACACAGTCTTACATATCCTGCCTCTGCTACATCTCTCATACATATCCATCCCTTTCTACTCACATAGCTGCCATGCTAGCTCAAGCCCTCTTGCTATTAAAATAATAGCTTGGTAATTGGTCTCACTCTCTCCAGTCTTTCTCCTATCCAATCCATTCTCTATACAGCTACCAAATTGCTCTTCCTAAAGCGCTAGCCCAGTCTTCCTTGTTCAGGAAGCTTTGCTGTATCCCTGTTAACCTCCAAAATAAATATTCTATTTAGCTTTTAAAACACTTCACAATCTGACTCCAACTCATCTTCTCAAACCGATTTCACATTTTCTTCCTCTCATCTTCTACATTCCAATCCAGTTGTCCCTCACATGGAATCATCAGTCTTCTGCCGTTGCACAGGCCATCTACCATGTCTGGAATATTCTGCTTCCTCACTTCCATCTCTTGGAATCTTCAGCTCCCAGCAAGGTTCAGCTTAGATCTCTCCTCTCTATGAGGTCTTTCCTAATTCCCTAGCTAATAGTCCTCTCTCCCACCCTCAAAATTACTTTCTGTTTACTTTTAATATTTCATATTGACTTATCTGAGTACACGTTGTTTCTTCTGGAGTGTAAGCCCTTTTTTTTGGTTCCTTGTATTCCCAGTGCCTGGCACAGTGCCTTGTATATAGAAGGCACTTAATAAATGTTTGTTAAATTGAAATGAATGGCATTTTACTTCAATTTAACAAATAAGTTATATAATCTTTTACAAATGAGTTTATTATCTAAACTTATTTTTCCCTTTGCTGTCATATCTGTTTTGCTAGATGAGGCATTTTCTAAGTTTATTCAGTCTCCTGTTGTGGCAACTGATTTATAGTAGTTAACATTTCTCAGGAGATGGTAATGTGTGGTCCGTTCTTTTATCCACTTTCCATTTTGAAGGCATTAGAAATTTGTTAAATAGTCTGTACTCTAGTTGGAGTTGACTCAATTATGTACCATGGTTTTTCATTTTTATAATTTTTATTTAGTATTGATTTTTATCTTTGCTTTTAAACATTGGTCTTCTGACTACATAGACAGTTGATTTGGAAATGACTTCCACTTCATTAATCAAGTTTTTTCCTTTCTATTATAATCAGTTTCCATTTTTTATTTTATTTGTTTTTCCTCTTCAGTAAGAAGGTGTTTATGATATATGTATGTATATGAAGCTTTTGCATAATCTCTAGGCCAATCCCTATTTCTTATTCTTGAACTATGTTTTCTTGTAATTTAAAAAAAATTATGCTTTTTTTTAACAGCATTTTCCAGCCCCCCCCAACCAAAAAAACAATACTCTTCTGCAAAGGAAAATAATTAAGATAAGCAAAGTATCACAGTGACCACATCTGAAAATATATGCAATATTTTTCACTTGTAGTCCACTAACTCTCTACCAAAAGGAAGAAAGTGCGTATGATTATTGGTCCTCTGGAGCCAAGATTAGTCATTTAATCTGAATTATGATGTCTTTTAGTGCTGTAATATTTTTCACCATGTTTTTCACTGTCCTCTCCTATGCCAACCTTTTCATCATAGTTATTCACTATTGAAGTACATATTGATTTAATTAAAAGGCTCTTAATGAGTATATAAGAATTTCTATGCTTTATCATGCTCTGCAGTAGGTGCTGATGTATAAACTCTACTTATCTTAAGGGTATACTTCTTACACAAATACTTCTCATGAATTACTTCAACAGAAAATGACCAAGTATAACATGAAATATTTTTTTTCTACCTTTGAATAAAACCAAAGGCAATAAAAAATTTTTTTTCTGCTCCAGGAAGAACCTGTAGCCATTTTTTCATTTAGCTTCTTTTTGTCTTTTGGGTTCATTTTTTTGTTGAGAATGTCAGGATTGATATAATCGGTTTTTCTAGAAGTATGTCTTCTTGCTAGTTACTGGACAGGAATCTCATATTTAAAGTTTCTAAGCTAAATTAGTTATCTTCTGAAAATAGAGTGATTCTTAGCATCCTTAGCCTCTTTTTCAGCCACTCTGCAGGAATGGAAGAAAACTGTGCAAGACTGAAAGCCGACTAGTGTTTTACTTTTTTATGAGTTGTCATGGCCAAAGAGTTCATCACCAAGAGTCTAGCCTTCTGGGGAAAGACATCTCTCTCCTGAGGATCTTTTTCCAAAAGTATACCTAGAATCAAAGTCTGACTTTGGACTTTGCTGGCACAGCTTTAAAGAACCTAGGGTCAGCTCCATGCCAGAATGATGTATTACAATAGAGCTTTGTGTTAATAATATCTGATATTAAAGAATCACTATAATTTTAAAAACTCAGCAAATAGGAGTTGGGGAGTGTCCTACCTTTTTTGTATTCTGAAATGATTTCTAACCCTGAAGTCTTATAAGAGGATATTCTTTTAGTGCATTTACTTCCACAGTTGAATTTACAATGTCATCTTTTATAAGCAGTACTTAAATTTTAAGGTTGTTTCCATATTCTAGACATGTTCCATCAAAGGTGGTGTCTTTTCTACAACAGAGTACTTGACAGACTTTCACTTGAATTTAATGTCTGTCTTATAATTATTGACAGAAAAAAATTTCTGTTTTTGCTTTTTTAAAAAGTTGCTTCTTGAAAAGTATTTAGGATTTTTTTCTGCTGCCATAATGTGTATCTGGTAAAATTATGTTATGGTTTCTATAGTTTGAATTAAACATTGGTGATACTATCAGTTTACAAAACTTTTTTTGTCTCCTCATGTAGTCTTGATTATGTTACCTAATTCTGAATTTATCAGTTAATTCTAATTAGAAATCTACTGCTCTCAGCTTTTGTACATACATATGTGAATTCATTCAGACACAATTAGATTTTCATCTTCCTGTCCTATGAATAGATAATTTTACACACACATACACACACACACACACACGTATATCTACCTATTTGTGTCTAATGGTAGCCATCTCTAAAGCAGGGAAGAGCCGGAGTGGGGGGAGGAGAGGGAGAGGAAAGAAAGAAAAAGGAAAAAAATTTACATATTTATAAGGAATAGCAAGTTGTACACAGTAGATTTGCAGTTTTATGTACAGTCGGTTTTTTTTATTATACTATGTTATGGAAATGCTTGTTTTATTCCATAAATTAAACATAAAATAAATTAAAATTTAAAAACAGAATCAGAGTTAACTCTTTTTAGTAAAAGGAAATTCTTACTATGGATTAAAAGTATAGCCATAGCAAGACATACATTTGTTAAATATATTCCCCAAAATTAAAGTTATCAGTTTGACAATAGAGGAGCTAGACCTTTAATCCCACATTAGTCTACACTTCCTGTCTTGTCATCTATGGGAGAAAAGTGTGTATAGTCTTACAGCTCCATATACTTCACCATAGAGCAGCCCTTAGATTTTCTAGGAGAAGAGTAGTTATCTGAATGAATTTTTTAGTAGCTTTTTATAGAATCTGGGTATAGACACATGTTCTGTGGCCAAACTTGGTATTCATTGTCCCAGGAAAGAAATAATTAAGTTGTTTTTAAGTTGTATCTTGTCAGTGACATGATTTTATATTACTCTGAGACAAGGTACCCCAATGTCCACTTGTTTCTCTTTGCTTTAATAAATTAAAATGTCAATTTAACTGGTCTGTGAGCAGATGGTTGCTTAAGCATATGTACTTTCAGCTTTAAAAAGTTGATATTGCCTAGCCTCCTATATGCATGTTCCATATCCACTTTATTTTCTTACTTGATCTTTCTTTAATGGAGTGTTATTTTTTTCTCCCTAAGTAGTACACATTTACAGTCTACTATGTGCCAGGCAATGGGGCTAAATACTTTATAATACAGAATAATATTCTGGTTATACCACAGTCTAAAAGGTTATTTACCTGTTAAAATTTCAAAATATCTCAATTTTCTTTTGCAGTAAAGCAAGTTTTCTTTTGTTAATACTTTTCTTATTTAACCTCTAATCCATGCAGAAAATTGGAGATTCGTACCGTGGTTATTGTGTTAGTGAGACAGAATTAGAAAATGTACTAACACTTCACAAGCAGCAGACAAAGACTATCTGGGGGACACGCCAATCTCCAAGCCCAGCAAAACCTGCCACACGCTTAATGTGGAAATCCCAGTATGTTCCATATGATGGAATCCCTTTTGTCAATGCAGGTAAATTTGAAAAGTCTTTGTAACACTTTGTTTTCCATAGGCAATTAGGTTTTCCTGAGACTGTACATTTTCACTTTGACAGATGATACTGAAGTGAAGTTTTTTTTACCTCCTCTGGTCCTATGATTTCATTAACACGAGGAAACCCTGACTACCACTATAGATGGGTAACTCCTCAGTAATTTTTAGTCTTGGGTGCATCATGGGGCATCGAGAGGTTAAGTGACTTGCCCAGGGGTACACAGCCAAGATATGTGAGTTGGAACTTGAACCTGACTCCAGTGCTGGCTTTTGCTGTTCACTACTCTATGTTGCCTCCCATTACCTAAATGTTGGTAGATTTAAATAAAAGTTAAGCCAGAAAGAAAACTGTCAGTAAATAAATCAACTTTTTTATTTAGAAACAATCTATTTCTTAACACAAATCCATAATTTTCTCTATAGTTAGAAAAGCAGAAAAGAAAAATAATTTACTTGACAATGTTAATGTAGATTAATATTTCAAAAGAACTGTGGTTTCATCAGTGTAGTTATTTTGTGGTCCTCTGATGATACATAACCCTTTGCTTGGCCTCTCTTTGAAGTTTTCCCAATTTGGAGGGATTTTTGGACCCTATGTTTCATTGGTGTTTTATTTCGGTACCTAGTACTACCTCCATGACACAGTGAAGCATCAGAATAGGCCCTTAGTGGAAAAAAATTAAGTAATAGAGGAGTTATTATTACTTAAAACAAATAATAATCATCTCCTCTGAGTTTGCTTTCTCCCATTAATGTCACTGTTCTTACCCTTATATTTGCTAGAAGTTTTAGGGGACAAGAGAAATAGTTGGATTGCTGTCATGGGGGCACAATATAAAAGTTATATAATATTCTAGTATTTCACATTACGTAAATATTTAAAGTATTATTGATGCTATTGAATCTTGGAATATCTCTTGCTCACATCTCTGAAACCATATGTCAGCACCAGAGTTTCTAAAAATGTGGTTTGGTATTATCCCAAAAGATTAGCTTTAGGACAAAGCAGGGCTTAAAATGAGTAATGTTATGGGTAATGGTACATTGTAGAAGTCTCGCATCTAATTTGGGGAATCTCAGATGCAATACTGAGAGGATTAGATTCACTTGAAATGTTAGAGGTGGTGGAAGAGAGAAAGGGTATAAAACGCACTTGCTCAAGTTTTCTCTACATGAGAACGTATTTAATCCCAGAGTTCTTTTCCAGGGTGGCTGTGGACCAGAATGTTTCCTTTTAGCCTTTTGCCATCCTAGCCTAGGGTAATGGGCTTATAATTTAAGTATGCAATAATATAAATTGATATTCTTGTCAAAGACCCTGCCTGACAGGCTTATCATTACTTCTCAGGAGTTGTTATTTTGTTGGCTTATCAGTATAATCAGTTGAAATACCATATTTCACTTTCAGTTATAAATTAACATAATGCCAAAAAGCATTTAATAAAAGAAAAGGATGGATGTTCTTTTAGCTTGTTTAAATGTGTTTTGATGTTGTTCTCCTAAGGACAACTCCCACTTCTGAGCTAATTTGCTATAGTTTGGGAGTATTATCTCGACCTCTGTAGCTGGCATTGTATACAACCTGTTGCCAGAACTTGATACCCCTTGAAGAATGAGTTACATGAGTCCGTTACTCAAAGGATGACAGAGATTCTCATCTCATATCATCTCATCATTGTCATAGTACTTTTGGAAACACATGCTGCCCAAATGTGGCTTTGCACGGAACAGGCAGTTCTTTTCATTTCCAGTAGGGGACCAAATTCTCGGGGGGTAGAAAGAGGATGCTTCAAGCACTTGGCAGGTTGGTTCCCCAAAGGGCTTAGGATTCCTACAATAATTCTTCAAGGTCTGAGTTTCCCTCTGTATTTTTTCAAGTTATTTTACTCCCAGAAGACATTGTTACTTTAAGAAACAAGTTTTGACACGATAGACACAACTCAGTAATTCCTTCCCAGTGTACATTTCCTGGAGATATTTGAGCAAAATCACCTAAAAGAAAGACTACAACTTTAAATACAAGTAACTTTCCACTGTTACGGTTTACTGATTGTTAATATTAAGGAAGGATATGTATTTTAAATTGAATTCTTCGGTACCAACCTTGTCTGTTGTCTTAGTTTTGTTGTCTTTTTTCACTTTGTTGTAGTCATTGTATATTGTTTCTTGGGCTTTGCTTTCACTCTTATGCATACTTTATACTTTATTCTTTGGTCTTATTTGTTAGTTCTTACAGCTCAGTAATATTCACATGCCGAAATGTGTACAGCCATTGCCCAGTCATTGGGCATATATTTTGCTTCCAGCTTTTTATAATTATAAATAATACTTCTATCAATATTTTTGTATGTATAGGCCTTTTTTGCTGCCATTAACCTCTGTGAGGTATAAACCTGGTAGTATGGGGTCTCTGGGTCTCAAAAGGTATGAACAATTTAATAACTTTTGTTACATAATGCATAATTACTTTTTATTATGTCCTCTCTGTTCCCTCAAAAAGTCTCCTTCCCAAGGAAAAATGACCTGTATAAACCAGGTTCCTATTGAATTTGGAATGGGACCTTTGGGTAACATTTTTAAAAACTGGAAAATCTTATGTCTCACCACCACACCAATACATACTTTCCTATTCCTAAGGATATACAGAAATCATGATTTTAAAGCTTGAAGGGGATCCTGGAGATTATATAATGTAAACCTGTCATCTCATGGGGGAAACTAAGAATTTGATGTTAGGAAAAATCTGGTTTTGATTCCTGCCTCTGACATGTGTTATCTTTGAGACCATGGACAAGGCCCTTATCCTATCTGGGCCTTTATTTCCTTTCTTCAGAAGTGGTTGGGAGGATCAGGTGAGATAATGGATTTAAGGTTCTTGGTAAAGATGCAAATGCTATGTAAATATTTGTTATTTGTAATTTTCATAACTAAAAAAAAATCTCTTGAGATAAAATAGGGTATTCAGCGAAATAGAATATTCAGCCAAAAAGGTTAGATTTTATAAGAAGTTTTCACAGTAGTTTAGCACATTAGCTATTATCAAAGGTATTACAGTTATAAAACACAATGAACAAAAAAGATTTGTTAATTTTAAAGATGTGTTATTAGTTTACGTGTAAAGTGTCTGGTATTCTTTATGATAAAAGAAATTGGGGACAAATATGCATTAATCTGAACAAGTTACAGTTTGTGTTCCCAACTAAGCTGAGTTGGGCACCCACAGCTATCCTTTCTCCCTAAAGTGATAATTATGAAAAAGACTCATTGCCATTGACAACTTATCTTTCAACTTAGTGGCTAGAACAGATGGATACTTGAATTAATGACATAATAGTTGGTATCTGTCCATAGGGAGCAGAGCCATAGTGATGGAATGTCAGTTTGGGCCAAGGAGGAAAGGTTTCCAGGCCAAAAAAACTGGAGAGCAGGAAAGCACCTCCTCCTGTCAGCTCTACAAAGCCACTTGTCCAGCACGGTAAGCTTCAGCTAGACTAGGACCCCATGTAGCAAGGAACATACCACTATTATTAGAAGCATAAAAAGACTGAGAATCAGAAGAATTTAGTAAGTTTTTAAAATGTTACTTTGTTGTTTTTGTTCAGGAATTAAAAGTGTTCCTCAAAGCCTCATGAAAAAGAAAGGCAGAAATGGAACAAACTAGTAAATGGAATTTTGTGGGACTTTGTAATATTTTTATTTTAGCATCAGATCTCATATCACAAAATACTCTAAAGATACTGTTAACTCAGTTTGTAGGAGTTTTCATATTTAAGCTGATAACATTAATTTTAGGCAATATTTATATTTAAATCTCAAAGGAAATTTTAAAAAAATTTGACATGCAGAGGATATAAAAATTTAAGCTTCTATATATTTTTCAGTGAATTGGCTTCAAGTCTGACGTGGTGAGGAAATAATATTTTCTCCATAAATCAACAAGTATTTACTGAGTGCCTGGTATTTCCTTAACAAATTGCTAGGTACTAGTAAATATGAAAGTATAAGATGATATCCATGTCCATGAGGAACTCATAGTTTTGTTCAAGAAACAAAGTACACATATGAAACAGTTTGAAAGCAAAACAATTAAATTTTGATATGCATGAGAGAATATGGTATGACCTGAAGTTATCAGGGAACACTTCATAGATGTTATGTAGCCCGTGAAGGATAAGATTTAGAGAAGAATGAAGGATGTGTGTGTGTGTGTGTGTGTTTGGGGGAGGGGTGTCCTAAAAAGAGGAATGAGCATGCTGTGTTGGGGGACTGCACAAAGATCGGTTTGAAGAATCCAGAAGCAGAAATAAGGCTGGCTGAGTCACTTGGGATCAAGTTATAGAGGACCTTGAACACCTAACTGGAGAAAGGCTCAGATTGGATCAAAAGATAGTAAAAAAAGCATTGTAGAAAGAGTGTGTGATATAATGAAGCAAAATATCAATTTGGCTTTGTTGTGCAGGATGACTTTGAGTAGGGCTTGACTGGAAATAAAAAACACCTAGTAGATTATTAAAGTAATAACAAAATTAGGAGAGGTTGTAGTAGTAGTAGAAAAGGTTAGGGCGCTGATATTGACAAAAACTATTCAAATTTTTGGCTAAGTTGCTGAAGTAGCCCCCAGAAATGATCATTATTAGGCATTCATGAAGGTTTATGTAGTGTGTAGTGAAAAATAAACTGAAAAATAACCTTTTGTGCTTAATTTATTTTTTAAAAATCTCTTAAGAGGTATAATCAGTGTTCAAGTGTGTATATCCATGTGTATACATGCATGGATATTATACCTAAAGGTGGTATGGTTGATAATTTAGAGTTCCCTGTGAATATTATATAATAAATCATCACTATCCTTTCATTTTTATAGGATTTATATTAAAAAGGTACAAAAATTCCCTGAGTATCGAGTTTCTACTGACCCTAAAATTGACAAGAAAATCATCAGAATGGAGCAGGAGAAAGCCTTTAACATGCTGAAGAAGAATTTGATCGATGCTGGAGGGGTTATCAGGTATGAGTTTCATACTCTCTTTTGACATTTTCAGTTTGCCAGCCAAATTGCCAGAATCCCTCTGCAAGTAAATGTCCAAGGAGGGCAGTTTATCAGTTTTTTCTAGCTTGGTTTTTGCTGGGTTTTTTTGTTTTTTGGGTTTTTTTTAGGAAATATTCTCACTTAGTAGTTTGCTAAGGTTAAAGATGATTTTTTTCTTTGTGTCATTCTTGGAATTTATAGATAATATCATAAGTAGGCATGAACAAAGAGTTTTGCAAATCTCAACCTTTTTTTTCAAAATGATATAGTTTTAGTTCTTGTAACCAGATTAAAAATCCCAACTTTGTTTTCACTGATGACAACCAAAAACAGAAAAAAGGAAAAAGATGATTGAGTTTAAGTAAGTTATTCTGTTTCCTTAACAGAAATTTTACGTGATAGCAATTTGCTACAATGTGATAGACGCTAACTGCAATAAGATAAGAGCTTTTTAACATGATACATTGCCCTCACCCTTTGTGCTTTAGATATTAAATAAGAAAGTAGTGTTAGCTTTATCTCTAAATTTCTCACTTTTGTTAGCTTAGGCCAGGTTTGATTGTTGTTATGTAACCATGGAATATCCTGCTTTCATGTGGCCTTTAAAAGATTTAGTTACATGGGAAATGAGCAGAATGGAATCTTCTTTTGATCCAATGTGTGTGATACTGTAAGTAATTTTCGTTTCATCAAGTTACCATTGCAAACATGTAGTATAAAAACATCAATTAAAATACTCTCTTTCAAAGGTAGTTCATTTGCCTAGTGGCTGCTTTCTGCATTGCCATACAAGAGACCTGTGTTTGATTTCCAGTTGATTCTCTTGCTCATTGGGCCAACAGGAGCTGGGAGTGCTGTGGAGGCAGTGTTGTTGAGCCCCTGTGAGCGAAGAGTATCCCATATAGCTCAACAGGCTCTGAATCACATCCACTCTTTGGATGAAAGGATGGTAGGTGCAATGCAGAAGCTTAATTGGGGTAAAATGGAGGGTAAATGGGGTGATACCCATTTCAGGATATGATGGTTGACATTATTGCCTTTTTATTGTGAGGTAAAATTCTAGTGATATGGAACTTAATATAAAATTACTTGTATATAATACTTTGATCCCCACTACCGCTTCAATTTTTGGTCTATCACAAGGTCTGTAGAGATTTATAAAGGTTTTTGTTTGATTGGGATATAATCTGACAGAAGTTGAACAGAGCATATATTATAATTTATTATAAAACTGTGTTACCATGAAGTTTCGTCTTACTAGACTTCTTTTCTTGATAGTTTAAGTAGAAATGATTTTTCTTATTTCTGTTTTATACCTTAATTTAAAAATTTTCCTCTTTATTAGGTGGTATGTACAGTTGCCCACCCGAAAGGCTCATCAATATCATGAACTGCAGAAACCTTGCCTCATTCCTTCTCCTTCCCCTCTCCTTGTTTCTTCACTTGAGAATGAGGAAGATACAGTTCGGGATGAGAACTGTACATTATCCTCACGTCTACATCCACAAGTAGCAGATAAGATCAGAGAACTGGTATCTCAGGGAATAGAACAAGTCTATGCAGTGAGGAAACAGCTAAGGTATAATGGAAACAAGATTTTTTTGTTTTGTTTTGTGTTTTTTTTTTGAGACATTTGGTTTAAAGTTAAGTGTTCAACATCTGTTCTTACTCTCCCTTCACATAGCTACCACTCTAGTTCATACCCTCATTATCTTGTGCCTGGACTACAATTGTGGATTCCTCATTGGTCTCCCTTCATTGGTCTCTCATCCATCATCACACAGGTTGCCCAAATAATCTTACTAAGACTATTTAATTAATACCAGACAATCTTACTAAGACCATTTAAGACCGGTGGTTCCTCATTGCTTATAGGATAACATACAAACTCTTTAGTTTCACATTTAAGGCCATTTACAGTTAACTTGGTTCCTACTACCTCTCTAACTTTATTTCATATTACTGCCCTTTACATATTTCTGTTATAGTCAAAATGGACTTTTAGTCATTCCCAGAACTCAGTATTCCATCTTCTGCCTCATATGTTCTTTTTTAGTTCTTATTCCTGGAAAGCTCTCATTTCTGCTTCCTAGATGCCTTGTCTTCCTTTGTTACTCAACTCTGGTGTCAACTTTTTTTCTTTTTTTTTTTTTTTTGCAATTGGGGTTAAGTGACTTAACCAGGGTCACACAGCTAATAAGTGTCAGGTGTTTGGTGTGAGGCCAGATTTGAACCCAGGTACTCCTGACTTCAGGGCCAGTGCTGTATCTACTATACCACCTAGCTGCCCCTGGTGTCAACTTCTTGTTAAAGTTTTCTCCCTGTTAAATTTTCCTTTTATCTTACTTACCTGTGCACGCATGCTATATCCGTCTAGTTACAGGGGCGGGGAACCTGTGGCCTCGAGGCCACATGTGACCCTCTAGGTTCTCAAGTGCAGCCCTTTAAATCCAAACTTCACAGAACAAATCCCCTTAATAAAAAAATTTGTTCTGTAAAACTTGGCTTCAGTCAAAAGGCTGCACCAAGGACCTAATGGGCCACATATGTCCTCAAGGCAGAATGTGAGCTCCATGAGAACAGGGACTGTTTTGTTATTGTCTTCATGTCCTTGGTACCTGACACATCATGGGTACTTAAATGATGATAATAGTGATAATAACTAGCATTTACATGGTATTTAAGGTTGCAAAGTATTTTACGTGTTATCTCATCTCCTCACAACCCTGTGAATTATAGGTACTATTATTACCACCATTTTACAGATGAGGAAACTGAAACGAAGAGTGGTTGAGTGACATGCCTGGGGTTATACCGTGTCTGAGGCAGGATTCCCATTCAGGCCTTCAAGACTCCAAATCCAATACGCCATGTATCTGTTGAGTCCCTTCCACCAAGTAGATAAGCAAGATGTCGTTTTATTAGAAAATATATCTCTTCCTGAGCCAACAGTTTCCCAGTAGTCTTGGCAAATCACAGTTTCCAGCTATGTATACAGTATTCAAATCTAGCAAATTTGACTATCTCTAAACTAACTTAAAATAGTGCATATGTAAGGGGCAGCTAGGTGGCGCAGTGGACAGAGCACTGGCTCTGCAGTCAGGAGGACCTGAGGTAAAATCTGGATTCAGACAGTTGACATTTAGTAACTGTATGACTCTGGGCAAGTCAATTAAACCCATTGCCTAACCCCCCCCACACACACACACAAAATAGTGTATATGTCAAGTCATATTTAAGTAAAAATAATCACAGAAAAATCTCTGTGCACTCAAGACTAAGACCTACCCAGTGGCCCAAATATTTCACTTAATATTTAATGAGGGCACCTTTTATGGCAGTCCCTTTATAATGGATGAATTTGGATGGTCTGTTTTTAGTGGAAGTTGACCTGTAGACTTCTGTTCAGAATTCTTTGCTATGCAACAAATAAACTTTTTTACTTAAAATAAGTCATGTGAGAACCAGAAGGCTTGTTTATCTTATTAGTAATAACAGTAACAGCTGGCATGTATATCATGCTTTAGAGTTTACAATACACTTTATATACATTATTTTATTTGCTTTTATCAACTTGGGAGGTAGATACTTAAAACATATTACTATGATTTCATCTGTAAAAACAGATGAGTACTGAGGTTCAGAGAGTTTTTTCATGCTGAAATTTAGCAACTTGTCCATTAGGGTTCAAAATCAATTAATGATCCTTACAGTCCAGGCTGATGCTTGTTATCTTCTTATACATTGCTTTGGGGAAATCCCAATAACATTTCTGCATGAGTATTTATAGATCTTTCTGCTTAGCAGTCATCTTAGCATTTTTTTTTACACTCTTCATATTTAATATATGCAAGAATAGGGATTCTTAACCTTTTTTGTGTCATGGACCCCTTTGGCAGGCAAGTAAAGCCTGTGGAACTCTCTTAGGATAATGTTTTTAAGTGCATAAAATAAAATACATAGTATTACAAGAGAAACCAAATACGGTTTGAAATATGTTTACCAAAAATTTTTTAATACAAGTTAATGGATTCCAGGTTAAGAATACCTACATGAATATAATACGTTAAAATCCAGAATTTAGTAAACCTCAAACCCTATCCTTTAGAGACTTCCTAATAGTATCAGAAGAGCTTTGTTATTATAGACTCTCACCTAGAAAAGATTGTAAAAGTGCGAACTCTAAGAACAGTGTTATAGCACGACATGAATATATTTTCTGTATTAACTAATATGTTACTTAACCAATATCATGGTTTATCTAATAATGGCTCCAGTTTTCTATGCGTGTGCTCTTTTTCATCATGTATTTCACATTTAATTGGTATAATTACCATTTTCTAACCATATCTCTTTCTGTACATTATGTTTCATATATTATTCCATTCCACTCAACTGTTTCATTGATCCTCCCTTGGTCTTCCTGGGGCAGAAAAGATTTATTCTTTTCAATTATCCACATAAAGTACCAAAATAGTTTACATATAGCCATTTGGAGAAAGAAAGTATTAAAATTTTTTCATCCGTGTGGGTTCTAGAATACTCTATTGTAGAAAAATTAAAAGTGGAAAAATATAAAAAGGTTATGGAGTTAATAAGCCATACTGTATATGGAAAAAAGTCTTTCTGGTTTTGGTTTCATATATGTTCTACATTATTTTTCCCTTTTTATATATCCACAGAAAATTTGTGGAGAGGGAATTGTTCAAGCCTGATGAGATACCTGAAAGACATAATTTGTCCTTTTTCCCAACCGTGAATGATATAAAAAATCACATTCATGAGGTACAGAAGTCCTTGAGAAATGGGGAGATGGTGTATAATTCAGAAACTCCTCCAGCGACGGTATGATTGGAAGTACATTTGATTTCTTTTGTGGTTCTTACTTAGCTTACTTTTGCTGTTGTATCTATAATAGATTCCATTCATGATGTTAATCAGCATTTAGTTTACTTCTTAGAATTTATTTATAACCGAAATAAATAGGTTGTGAAAAAAAAGTCACTCTGAAAATGTGTTATTTCTCTTAAGCTTATAGCATTGTTTTCTTGACCAAGTAGGACTAATAGTTTTTTCATTTAAAGCCTAAGCCTGAATGTTTTCTTTATGAAGGAAATTATAAATATAAATGAGTGTTAGTAGGAGGTAATGGAGTATTTGTTATCTAAATATAAATCCCTGAGGTTAGATGGATTACCAAATTTCTCTTTAATATCAACATTACTTCAGAGACTCATAGAATCATAGAGTTGCAAGATCTAGTCCAGTCCCATTATTTTAAACTGAAGAAACTGAGGCCGTTAGGGATTAAATGACTCATCCTAGTACAGACAAGTGGTATTTAATTATTTTAATTTTCCAAACGACTTATTGATGTAAATTTATTTTAATTATCTTAACTGTGACTAAAAAAGTTTTCCCCAGATTTTACTGATGGTATAGTTAGAACAATGAAATTATGAGGTGGATTTACCTGCACTTGTACCTATAAAATAATGAGACTGATTTTCATATGTGGCTCACACAAAAAAGATAACAAACTAAATCCTACTCTCTTTATTCTCAGACCCATACTGCACAGATCTGGTATATCTGGATTTTCCCAGTTCTTCTGGCCTGGGAAGAATGAAGACTCATTTTCATGTTAAGTCAGATGAAATGTGTAGAGTTACTAGGTGATTAAGAGGCATTTTAACTGAAAAAAAAAACAGAGCTTGAGAGATAAGGTTATAGGGTTTAGATTTAGGGCTAAAAGAGACCTCAGCAAGCTTTCATTGAGTGCCTGGATACAAAGAAAGGCAAAAACCAATCAGTACTCTGTAGGAGCTCACAGTATAATGGGGAAGAGAACATGAAACAACTATGTTCACACTCATTTTAGAGGTAAGGAAATGGAGGCCTGGTGTGGTTAAATGACTTGTCAGTCCAAGATGTCAAAACCCAGGACTACTCTTTCATTTACCCTGCAGTCCTGGTGAGGTTAGATTTAGGATCCCAACCCTAATCCTTTCTTTAACCCATTTCTCTACTCATCCATTAATCTTTTGATAAGAGTGAGAGTCACTGGAATAGTGGGGCTTCAGGTGTTAATGATTTCTTCTTGGTACCTTCCAGATGGGGTACCTTGAATATCGAAGGCGATTGCAAATTTCTAGGTGCACTATAGGAAGAAGAAATATATCACAGTGGAATATTATTTTCTTACAACTTTTGGAATCATTCTCATTACTTTTTGCCTTGTAAAACTTTTGTCACTTTTGCAGTGACATTGAAATCTTGAAAGTTATGCTGAAGTTATAAGTATTTTTGCTTTGTAGTAGATTGGCAATGGTCATAGCATAATACTCTAATTAACTTGAACACCCAGACATAAAGAGAGCAAATTTATTTATTTATTATTATTATTATTTTTATTTTAACTTGAACTTGAACACCCAGACATGAAGGGGGCAAATTTATTTATTTGTTTATTTGTTTAATTTTTAGGCAGTTGGGGTTAAATGACTTGCCCAGGGTCACACAGCTAGTTAGTGTCAAGTGTTTGGTCTGAGGGCGGATTTGAACTCAGGTCCTCCTGACTCCAGGGCCGGTGCTCTATCCACTGTGCCACCTAGCTGCCCCAAGAGAACAAATTTATACTAAAAGATAACTGTAATTAGAAAAAATATAAAGTATAACAATTATTGATGATTTTCAATATCATTCCTTTTATATGTATATTTTCATATGTTTACTGAACAGTTTATTTTTCATTTTAGTTCCAATGGACCACAGACAGTGGGAACATTCTCACAGAGACTGTAACAGTTACATTTGCATCACCATCCACTGAGGGTAGGCTCATGCTGAATATCATTAAAATGTATTTTTAAATGTATCTGAACAATTCCAAATTTCCCTGAAGATCAATTTGCATGTTTTCTTATAAATAAAAAAGACAATTAGTGGCTAACTAGAGGGCCAAGAGAGTTCCACCAGCAACTGCTTTGAGGTAGTTTGAACCAAAAAGGTCCCTTTGACCCAAAAGTTAAGGCCTTTTGATTTCTTTTTTTTTTTTGCTTTCCTCTTTCCTTTTGCAGTATGTTATAACTTTCTTTTCTTCCAACTTTTATCTTTCAAGAGTCTTTTCAGATATTGGTTATCATGACATAAAAAAGCTTTGTGCCTATATACCACAGTGCTGGTTAATATATATGATAAGCATAGTGTTATTGATTGGTTACTGATTATTATGCACATTTTGTTGCATATGAGAGGTGACAGCAAGAGAGTGAAAATTTTAAGTCCTGGGATTAGTTATGAAGGGACATTACAAAATCTCTTTTCTAAAGGTCTTTAAAAAAAAACAGATGGGGTTCTTGTATATCTGGAGAATTTTAGGTGTAGCTCTACCTAAAAACATGAAGAATGGACTAACAAGATGATCTTAGAAAGTTTTTCAAACCAATTGAAGTGATGAGGGACTGGAATATATTGTCCTGGAATTCAATAGAAATAGTTCTTGTTTTAACAGTTTATTGGTGATGTGATATACTTTAGGAAGCTCACCAGGAGAATCGATTATCACTAAAGTGGAAGCAGATCAGACAGGGGAGTCTTTGTCTCCAGAGACAGCCCACTTGCTCTCTTCACTCTCTTCACTTCAGCCCAAAATATTTGCACAGTTGCAGGTAGGTGTTCAACAAAGCAGCTGAGTTTAATTATTTCCATTCAGATTTTCAAAGAACTTATATTTTCTTTTTTATTCCTTGATAGAAAGGTTATGATAATTTTCACAGAAAATTTATTCCTGTACATTCCCATTTTACAAATAACTTAGCACCTTTTACATTGATTGAAGATATACTAAATATGAGTTGAATTAAATATGAATACAGTGAAATTTAGTTCTCACCACCCTAGTACACTCCCCTTTCCCCTCTTAATATCATATGATAAAGGACTTTAGAGGAAGGAATTTTAACTAGTATAATTTTTTTTTGTCCCAATCAAGTGTCTGAGTGACAAACAGTATCCTGTAAGAACAAAAAGTGCTTAAGTTAAACATTTCGGTAATTGAGTTTTATGTTTTACAGGGTTTACAATTACAACCAGCTTTCACCTCTACTGATGGAACAACTGCTTTGATATCAGTAAACAGCCATTCTCATTCTACTTCTGCAAACCTTCTGGATTCAGTAGGAAGTGCTGTAATGAACCATTCTGTCGTGTTCACTCAAGGACATAACCTTCAGGCAGGAGCCTGCCTGACACAGAACCCTCCTGCTTCCTCTACACTGGGTAACCTTCCAGGGCCAGATCAGAACCTTGTTACAATGGGCCAGCTGGTAGCATTTGGAGGTGTTGAGGATACAGGCAGCCCGGAAGGTAGCGTTCATCAGATTTTTTTGGGAGATGTACAAACCATTCCAATCAGGATTGTGAACAGCCACCCAACTCTTAGTAAGTCGAAACCAGACTATATTATTACAGCTTTTAATATTTATAAAATTAGCAGCTTACCAAAATATGCAAGAAAAAATTTATAGTCTGCTCAGTGGATTTACAATCTCAATAGAGTAAGTTAAATAAGACTGCAAAAGAAAGAGGAAAAAAAATCTCACTAGTTAGAATTAAACGTTTATTTTATTTTCCTCTGCTTCTTCTTTGTATTGTTCTTCCCAACTTCTTATTCAAAGATTGAAATAACTAGGGGCAGCTAGGTGGCACAGTGACTAGAGCTCTGGCCTTGGAGATAGGGGGACCTGAGTTCAAATCCAGCCTCAGACACTTAACACTTACCAGCTGTGTGACCTTGGGCAAGTTACTTAACCCCGAACACCTCACCCAAAAAAAAAATTGAAATAACTAAATCTAATCAAAACTAAAATCAATAAAGGTTCAAAAACTAAATCAGTAAAGACACGAAACTAATAAGAGTTTTCAGGGGTGATTTTGAAGGTGTGAAGAGTAATGAACAAAAATGAAGAAACTTCTAATGAGAGGATAAAGGATGGAAACACATATAGAATAAAATGAGTAATAAACACAAAGTGAAGGGACTGAGGTACTTCAGGGAAGAAAGGAAGAAAAAGTAGAACTGACATCAGTCAAATTGTGAGGAAGAAAAAGAAATAAGAATTTTAGCCAGGAACCACTAAGGTTGAGTTTTGTGGCCCAGTAGGTCTGAAAGGGACGAATGAACCCTTTTTTCCCCAGTTACTGGAAGCAGTAATGGGCTTTATCAATTTCAAGCACACTGTCAGCTGCAGCTGAGAGGAGTAGATTCTTCCTTTCTTTTCTTATTGGCAGCAGTTTACTTGTCTGAAGTCTGACATCTAGAGCAGACAAACCACCACTGAAGGTAGCAGAGAAAAAGAAGGGACTCCTGTCTCCATTGCTTTTGTCTTAGGATTGTTGCAGGTGTGTGAATTATTCTTTCCTAAAACAGACACCAGATTCAGCTGCTGCAGCTACAGATAATAGGCATAGCTTGCAGGAGTAGTAAAATAGCATGGGAACAGACATGGAAAGTTCGTGGCTTGGCCACAGTGAATTCATAAAAAAAAGGAAGAATTAGTATAGCTATAAGACAAGACATACAACATATCACTTCATATGGAGGTTATTAGCGACTCATCAAGAATTACATGTTAGGGGGCAGCTAGGTGGATAGAGCACCGGCCCAGAAGTCAGGAGGACCTGAGTTCAAATGTGGCCTCAGACCAACTCTTGACACTAGCTGTGTGACCCTGGGCAAGTCACTTAACCCCAATCGCCTAAAAAAGAAAAAAGAAAAAAAAGAATTACATCTTAGAATGACCAGCTGTAACAACTTAAAAGTAACTAATAGTAGAAAAGTCAATTCGATCAACAGACACTCATTAAAAACTTAGGATGAGCCAGGCTTTGGACTAAGCCCTCGGGATTCAAAGACAAAAGTGAAAGCATCCCAGTTTTCAGTAATAGCCAGCATTTATGTGGCACTTTAGAGTTTGCAAAGCATTTTACAAATACCGTCTCAATGTATCCTCCAGCAACCCTGGGAGGTAGGTGCTATTATTATCCCCATCTTACAGATAAGAAAACTGAGACAGGTTACATGACTTGCTAGTAATTGTCTGAGATGACATTTGAACTTAGGCCTTCTTGACTCCAGGTCCAGTGCACTATCCATTGAGTAGCCTGCCTGCTGTCTTCAAGAAGCTTCCATCTAATGGGAGAGTAAGGTAGTATCTCCATAGAAATAACTGAAAGTATAACTGCATTTCTCAGAGATTTAAAGTGAGAATCATTTTTTGTTTGTTTGTTTGTCTGTTTGTTTTTTGGTTAGGCAGTGGGGTTAAGTGACTTGCCCAGGGTCACACAGCTAGTAAGTGTTATGTGTCTGAGGTCGGATTTGAACTCAGGTCCTCCTGAATCCAGGGCCGGTGCTCTATCCACTGCACCACCTAGCTGCCCCCTTGAGAATCATTTTTTTTTAAATCACCTGTTTCTGGTAATGAGTTTTTTATTATCAGCATTAGAAATGATGTGCTTTCCTTCCTGGATAGACACAAGTGGCAACATTGATTTTCATTAGGTCATAAACTCTCAGTTGTATTTTCAGTAATGGTAGTGAATTTGTATGGTGCCTTCATGTTGTGGTCCACTCTCATAAGTCAGTAGCACACATTTGAGAGATTTGTGGTCAGGCAGGACCACAAATATAGTCCTAGCTGACAGCTTCAGCCTCATTGGCATCATGCTCTAACCAAATTATCTAGTCACAGACAGCATAAGATAATGTTTGTTCAAACTGGTAATTACTATTAGCTGACCTCACTGGATCACTTCCTTTTACTCAGATTGTTGAGTTGGATATTTTTAGGAAGGATTTTTACAATTTTATTGAGAAAAACAAAAATATACACTGCAGAAACTATTCTTAAACTACATCCTCATCTTCATTCTTACTCACTTTTTTTCCCTATTCACTTCTTAATTGGAAGAACTGTGATAATTTCCTTCAGTAAACATTCATTTTTTTAAAAAACACTGACTGAAATAGTTTTAAATACTGTCTAGCTGACTAAAAGCATCTCACTTATATGTCACTGAAGAATACTAAGGCCTCAAAACCTTGTGCCAGGGGACTCCTGAGAGGTCTATTCAGTGGCAGACCTATAAGACAGCCTTTTTGAAACAGAACTCCCAGGAATTCTTGAATTGGATTACATTTGGAAGGACCGGTTGAACTTGATGAGAGCTCCCAGAGCTGCTCAGACCAGACAAGCAGTGCTTCTCTCTTGTGGGGATAAAGGTTGACATGTGCTACACAGATATACATTTGGTACATATAACTCTGCCTTTCAAGAACTGTATGATTACTTTAACCTCTGCTCTCCTCATCAACTGAAAAAAAAAATTGATATCCCAGAGAGAGATGAAGATTTCATGTCAGATCTCCTACTTTCCTGCTTTCAGTAGTGCTGCTATTATGTACTAACTTAGATTTATTTAGTTTCAGCTACTCTGAAATCAGTTTAAGGGTGGAAATTATACACACTGAAACCCTTCATTTTTCTGGTAGATAGAACAAATGAACAGTGCAGATAGTGAAGTTAAAACATTCTTTAGAGACGCAAAGTTTTTTTTCCAAATTAGGACAAACACTAGAGTTTCCTGATCAACAGAAAATTTCCATTAACATGTAACTACACAAGCATGGAAAACTCTATAATTAAAAGTTGTTGAAATGGTACCACATATAAGTATTTGCTACATATGTTTCTAACTGTACAAACATCTGAAGTTTCCCTTCAAAGAAAAGGAATTCTGTTGCCTTTTATTCACATAAATATTCAGTGGCATCCTATTTTCAAAAACTAATTAGGCTGACAAACATCTGTTTGAAAAATGTTACTATTAGGGCTTATTTTTTTCTATTTAATAAGCTGGTTAATCTTAGAAGACATTTAGAGAATAGCTTTATAGTTTTGTCTACATTCCCCTCTCCATTTTTCATTGTTAGTTATGTTCAAGAAATATATTCTTTCATCTTTTCACACAAAAAATGAATGATATGAATGTTATAAATCACAAAATTGTTGTGTTCTCAGCCAAACAACCTAGAGTTTAAATTACTATTATATTTTAAACTGTTTTCGTGCTTGGCCCCTAAAAATGTCATTCTAAAGAGCTTACTGTTTTTAAAAGTACTGACCTTAATATCTGTGTTTTGTTTGTTTTTAAAGTTGAAGAAAGTCTGCAAGGTACAATTTCTGTGAGTCAAGTTAAAGAAGAGCCCAATGAACCAACATTATCTGAGCAAGCAAATAATATCCTGGACAGAAATACCTCATCCATGGTTTAAGTTTCTCAAGACTTTTTAAGGCTTAAAATTTTGAAAAATTCAACTCTCTTGGAAATGAAAGTAGACAGTGTCAAAAATGGTGCCATTCTTCTCAGTGGCATTGTAAACAGCATATTATAGAATAGTTCTAATGGATACTTTCATATAAAACTGATAATGATTTGTACCAATTAAAAGTCATTATGTTACCTTATGAAAGAGCTTCTCTTCTCAGTTTTGGATAGATCTGCTAGTTCTAAATTGTCTGATTTAACCAGTATTTCAAACAGTAGGCTGAAGGTTTGGTGCCAGTGTAAATATTTTTCCTATTCATCTCATAGAAAGTCTTATCTGATTTTGGGTGCTTCATGGCTGACAAAAACATGCTCTTACATACATCAGTTATATAAGTCTTTTTTTGTCTTTTTCCTGTTTTTTTGTTTGTTTGTTTGTTTTCTAGGAGGAAAATGGCTTTTATAGCAGAGCCTATTTGGTTCTAGTTGGAAAAGGTACTTAAACAATGAAGAGACTGCATATAAGGAAGAAAGTTACATTCCAGTGCTAAAGAAAATATGGGTGATAAATGAAAGCATATTGTAAATGTGAAATGTAATGGGTCTCATTTGTTAAAATAATTTTTAACATTATAAATTATTTTCTCTTGGGTTGCAGTTTGTTTCACCTGGAAAGAAACACAGTGGTTTTTACATCATGACTACTAACGACCACAGTCACTTCTGGTGAAATGTGGCTGTACTTCAGCTATTTCCCTTTAACTTTTTGCACTTCCAGTTACAAAGAGCTTATTAATTAATAGTTTTCAGAAGGATACTTGGAATATTCTAAGTACAAAGAATCCTGTATCCTTAAGTAACTTGAATTACACAGAAAAGCAATAGAAGTACATGTAGCATATATAAATACTGTCTTTATAGCTAAAACACTACCGTCAATGGAATTAGAGAACTTTTGAGAACACAAAAAGATTCCCAGAGTTAAAGGCAATTTACAAAGCTTTTTAAACTGATCTCAGAGGATCTTTTTAATATTACATTGAAAAAAAATGGGCATATATTTACATTTTTTCCATGCCAAACAAAATTCTTCATGGATTGATTGGCATTTAGCACTAAGATATTTCCATTAAAAATATTTATGCATAAGATTAATTGTTATTTATAGTAATAAAATGTATTGATCTGTTGCATTTGCTAATTAAATTATTAATATTTATTTCAAATGCCAAGTATCATAGTAGCATTTTCAGTATAAGCCCTTGTTTTCAGGTATATTGCTGAACCAGAAAAGTCAACTATAGTTGTCAGGAATTCAGCTTAATTGCATTTTTTAATTTAAAAGTTAATAAAGAAGGGTTTATCAGTGTTAGATATTAAAGATATAGAATTTTCACATAGACAATGTAAAATGATGTTTGATGTTAACATTTTGACTACTCTGAATCACTTTTTGTTTTTCTAAAGTGATTAGATGAAGTCGTGAAGGATTCTCATCCTTAATCTATTTCAATTATTTTAGTAACTGTCTATATTTGGAGAGTTCCTTCATTCCAGGTGGATGAAAAATAGAACCTGTATCAAATGTTTTTGCTTTTTATATTTAATTTTATACTCTTGGGATTATTTAATATAAAGCTTAATCTTTAGTTAAATCTAAAACTTGTTTAGCAAGAAATATTTTCTTTCCTGAGGAATGAAAATATTTAATGTGGGCATTCATAATGACTCCAACTCTGCCAAATCTAATTATGTTAAGTCTGTTATACTTGATAAATTTTTGTGTTAAGTCCATTGATAATTTGCCTTAAATTTAAATTTCTACTAAAGTTTGTGGTATCTTGCTTAAAACCAATGAGTGAATTTGTTGAGTTGTCCATGTTAATTTCAAATTTGGGATATAGAGACTAAAAAAAAAATTACTTTTACTTTCCATTGCTGCCTCCCAAACTAGTGTTTTATAACTCCCTTTCTTAACATTTCAAATAGTAAATCTCAGTCTTACTGATAGAGATGTCAGAGAATATAAACCTTAACTCTTAATCAGAAGAGATTTTTATACAAATATTCCTCTCACCTCATTTTGCTGAATCTCTCCTTTTTATTATTAGAACAGAGAGCAACAGTGTATCCTGAAAACAACTATAAAATACTGCTTAAATCCTTGATTTTATATTCTTTTAGTTTTGTAGGTAGACACTGGAAATATTTTCATCTGGATCTTTCATTGAGTAGTTCTTCCAAAAGTGACTACCAGACAAGTTCTAGAAACTTAATATTCTTTGTCCTCCAAGTGCATGCTCAGGTTATATCAGTGTTGTCTTCGAAGGTGCCTAGGCTTTTGTTATTTAAAAAAAAGTGTTTACATATATTGTCTTAGATTTGTTTTAAGGCATGTATTGAATTTGTCATAATGGTATAACATTTTCTATAACCACACAGTTGGCATTCTCCTCCTAGTTGCTATGTAGCAAAATTTTACGTGTCCTTTTGTGTATGATATATGATTTTCCTATTCATCTCATATTTCCCTTGGTAGATCGAGGTAGTGCATTTAAAATAAGCAGGTAGGGATTCGGAATTGATATTTGGGCAAATTTCTGAACTATTGACTAATTATCATTATTCTGTTCATATTCCAAGCCACCAAATTTATTTCAAGCCCCATTGCAAGTCAGTTGTAGTTAAACAGCTACAATTTCCTTCAAAGTCAGTTTCCCATAAAGGCAGTTAATATCTTTACAACAAAAGGCTTATGCACATAAAAACTCTGGACTGAAGTGCAGGAAAGCAATAGAAAACATGGGTCCCTTGTTTTGGTCTTGACTAGAGTTTTTAGTATTAAGCCATACAAATCCAAGTTTTCTCTTTCTTTATATGCTATAGAGATATGCTTAATCATGTGGATATGAAAAATGTTGTATAACTTGTATAAAGTTTAAAAAGAGATAAAGTGTATATTTACTGTAACTTAATGTATAATGTTCTTGTTATAATGTAATTTTTTTTTAAACGTAAACCAAAAAAAGCCTTTTTTTAAAAACTTGTTATAAAAATTTTATATTTCCCTTGGAGATTGAGGTGCTTTTTGTTTATTTTGATGCTATAAAATAAATATCTTGTTACCAGACTACTTTGATAGTGAAACTTATGTTCTGTTTGGAATCTGAAAGTGTTTAATTAAGCATAACTAGTAGACAATGAGGAAGTAGCTTAAAGCCCTATTACCATAACAACCGTTGGCATTTTTAAAAATTCCTTGAAAGATGGGGAAAGGATCATTTGTATGTGGGTCTGCTAATTTTGCTTATTTCTTCTTTCAGTTTCTTTCTTTTTCATTATTTTCTTCATTCTTACTTCACTGTCATTCTAGTGGAGGTAGAAGGCTTTCTTCTGCCAGATTAATTTAAGGTCCGGGAGCCTTGGATGATAAACAGTAATGTTCGTGATTATTAACAACTTCAGTTATGGTAGCCAAGCCTTAGTGCCAGAGGGGTCCACACCTTTTTCACTTGAGTAGAAAATCACAGACTTTCAGAATTAGAAGAGATTTCAGAAGTCAGGTCACCTAGTTCCACTTGGACCTGGTCAGGAATTCCCTCCACCACATGTCTCAAAAAAAGTCATTAGTTATCACTTGAAAATTGACAGTGATATGGAATGCAGTCATTCCCAAATAGCACATTCTACTTTTAGACAGCTCTTGTTGTTAGAGTTTTTCTTTGCATTGATTTAAAGTCTTCCTCAGTGCAACTTTTAATCATTGCTCCTAATTCTGACCCTCTGGTGCCAAGCAGAACAATTCTGATACTCTGTCTTGATGACAGCCCTTCACAAATGGCTGTCTAGTCCCCTAACCACCTATTTATATCCAAGTCTTTTCTTCTCCAAGCTCAAATCCCCTGGTAAATTAACTATTCATCATATAACATGGTCTGCAGTCCTCTCACCAACCTGGTGATATGGACAAGGCCCTTGGATCATAAGTAAAGAAGATCCTTTTCTACTATTGTTACTATTTATTGCCCATTAGGTGGTGACATTTTTACTTTGAATTTACCTAGTTGCTGATGGCAACAGTTGTGTCTGCTTATCAAACCAATGATAGGGGAAATGAAAGAAAAAAATGTCCTTTTTCTTTACACACAGAAATGATCATAAATTGGATCTAATTTTGTAGTATGGGAGGGTAGAAAAGTTTAAACTGTTTTCCTCTTTTCCAGGATAAAAAAAAAAGACTCATTAGGACAAAGTCCTATTAAACTAGTCTCCTGTGAAACTCACTGAATTCAGTTCAATTCAACAAACATTTTTGAAAGCCCTTAATATGCCAGGTACTGTGCTAGGTGCTGTGGATACAAGCATAAAAGTGAAAACAGTCTCTGCCTCCAAAGACCATCCATTGTATGAATCCAGACAGATTCCTGGAGTCTTAGATAGTATTGTTGACTTCTGTAATTAAGCATTGTTACTAATTCTTTTCCATGACTATTGATAAATACAAATTTACCTGTACATCCTTCTAGGCTCTGTGATGATTTCTAACAGATTAAATATCCAGAAGGCTGGAGTAAAGGTGATTGGTATCTTGCTTAAAGTCTGGCATAGCATAAATGATTTTAGGATCTTTTGTTGTAATAGGAGTAACATATTCCCAAATATGTATGAGTAGGGGCATTTGAGTCAATAAGTCACTTAGCCCACCTTCCTTATAAGTGAGGAGATGCTATGCCTTTATACCTGACCGGGTAAGAGCACATGTCAAACAGCCAGAGACTTTAAGTATTAAACATTGTTGAAAGCTATCAGAATGCTGTTTAAAGAAAGTTCTTTCATATTGGTTAAGGAAAGCTGATGACACCCTGTGAGTTCTCAGTAAAATATCAAACCCATTTTGGAACTGAGGAGGTGAGCAGCAAGCTAGGAGAGAGTGAGTATTCCGGCCAAACCCCTGAATAGTATTTGCTTTGGGTTGGAGGAGAGTGTCTTTGCCTTGGCTTCCACTCCTGCTAGGGTCAGAAGAGGGCCTCAGGCACTTTGAAGGAGCCAAAGGATTTTGGTTTTCCCATCTGTCCATCGGTGTCCTAGCTGCATCTCCAGAAGACTTGATAACATTATTTGCATCAAGAACCAAGATCAAAGTGGATGAGATGAGATAAGGCAAATGAAAGGCTCTAAAAAGAACCCAGCTGAAAAGCAACACCATACTTAAAGGAAATATCTTGAAGGCTCTAGTCAAAAGACTTCAAAGAGCTACGAATTAGCTCTAACAGATGAGACTTCTAAACATGATCCCAATTTCCCCTAGATGCTGCATATAGGTACTTTGGAAAGATTTTTGTGGGGATTGCTTTGTACCAACAGTTCCTAGAATACCACCTTAGTAAATATCCAATTTTAAAAACTAATTAAGTCAGCTGACTGATATCAACAGGTAATCTTGAGAAGCACATTGGTAGAGTTTCATGAGCTATAGTTGTTGTTCGTACTTTGTTCCTGAAGGAGGACCATGACATCAAGGAGATGATGCCATGACTCGAAAGTGAATTGGCTTTAAGTGGTCAGGGCTATGCAAAGTCACTAGCTTCACTTTCTCCTCCAGAGTCATCTGGTCCAGTGGCAAGATATGAATCAGGACAACTAGAGATGGAGTTCAATTGTTCTAATTATAGGTGAATTTATTGGTAATTGAACAAAGAGCTTGCTACACTAAGTTAATGTTGACAGATCATCTCAAAAGATGTGTGTTCTTAGCATCCTCTACTCCCTTTTCTACCCCCTTCCACCACTCTTTCTCTCTGACAAAAAAGAGACTACATTGGATTAAGTGCCATTTTTTTCTGTTTTGTGAGTTACCATGGTTACTAAATAATTTTAAAAGAAGTAAAGGAAGAGTAAATAATTGAGGAGAAAGCTGATGTGAAATCTTCACTGTGAACATTATACTTCAGAAATCAGCAAACACTACAAATCAGTATTTGACTTATAACTTTGTTGATTGTCTGGTCTTAAGAAAGTGATGGAGAAAATGTGAATAATGCAAATTAAATTTCAAAGTATGCCCTACAGTTTATTTGTTTGTTTCAGAAAGCTGAATGTTAAACATTTACCAGCAACTCTCTGATGAGAGAAAGAACAGGAACTTGTACGGCCATATTGCAAATCATGCTGTGATTATTAAAACTGTAGTACTAACTAGAAAAAATATAATCTAGAACTAAAACAAAAGTCTTAAAATAAACTGGTCTTTGATAAATACAAAATAAATTAAAGATAAATTATGGAAATAAGACAAAATACAAGGGAAATGAAGCATAATTCAATAAAGACCTTTTGGAAAATTAATTAGTAGTCAGGTGAAAATTGGATTAAATATAAATCTATGTGACATAGAAGTTGTAAATGGACAAGTAACAAATATAATAAAAATACACAATAGATTGCCTTTTCTGGTGCCATCACACCTAGAAAACACTTTGCTAGAAATTTTAAAATAAAACAGACCATCCCTAATGCATTGTTGATGGAGCTGAGAATTAGTACAACTGTTTTGGAAATCATTTTGGAACCATGCAAATAAAGTAACTAAAATGTTTATATATTTTGACACAGAGACGCCACTACTAGGTAGACGTATATCCTAAGGAGATAACTGATTTAAAAAAAAGTAAGTTCCCACATACATTTTATAGCAGTTCTTTTTGTGGAAGCAAAGAATTAGAGACAAAGTAGATGTCAATTGATTGGGAAATAAATTGCAGTACATAAATGTAATGTTATTGTGCTATAAGAAACAATAACTATGATAAATTCAGAGAACTGTGAGAAGACTTGAATTGATAAAAAGCGAATTAAGCAGAGCCAAGAAAACTATATATCTCTAAAAATATATATACACATACACAAATATACATACATGCATGCACATATATACATACACACATGCATACATATATATGTATATCTATAACTATATATGCAACTGTAACAGTATAAATGGAAAGAACCACAAAACAGTTTTTTAAATGGTTATTGTAAAATTTCGAAGAACAAATCATGGCCCCAAAGAAGAGATTTGGGAAGATACCTTTCTCCCACTCCTTTGCAGTGGTGAGAGATCCATGATTGTGGAACATTGCATATATTTTCAATTTTGGTGCATGTGTGATGTATTAGTTTCACTGACGGTTTTTTATCTTTGTTCTTTTCCTTAAAAAATTCTTTGTTATATGGAATGACTCTCTGGAGTAGAGAAGGGGAGGGACATAGGAGGCAATATAAATGATGTAAAAAACAAAATATATCAATAAAATAGATTTTTTTTTACAGAGATAGGCATTTCCCATTGTCAGATCACCTTTCTCTAAATCCAGATCAATAGGTATGACAAAAGAATGAATGAGACTTTCAGCCAGGAACACTTCCAGTGCCTTCCAAGAGCTTCTCAACAGCTTTCTAGTGGATCAGATCATTATTGCCTTCTTCCTTGAGGGAGAAGACCAAATAAATGTCCAGGGGCCCAAGAGAATTCTAGCTCACAACTGGAGCAACAAATTGTACTTTCCTTGTTGATTATATGATGTGTATAAATAAGGTTTCCCAAGATGAGTTGTTATGAAGGTTGGAATGTATATTACAAATGAGCTGCACCTAGCATTGCAGAAAAAATAACCCAAGAAGTTAATCAGAATGGGAACAATGCTCTATTGTTTACAGAGTTTGTTGAGGTTTTATAGAAGGTGGATTTACAGCAGAAAATGGTAATTTAATTTCTACACTAATACACTGCTACCAAATTGGTACTGTTGTACGTATAGCACATCCCTTTCACATGTGGGATCACTAGAATAGCTACACCAGGTTCAAGGTTCTCTGTGGGTTATTGTTTGTCCTTTGTTCTCAAAGAGGACCATGACATCAGGAAGGTGAGGCAATGACTTGCAAGTGAATTAGCTGTAAGTGAGGGAGGGCTGTGCAAAGGCACCAGCCTCACTCCGCTGGAGCCATCTGGGTCCTCTGGCAAGATATAGATCAGGAGGGCT